TATACATGTATATCTCTTTATATATATATATATATAATCTCGGATGATGTCTGGGGTCTAAGGAGGAAAACTGGAGGAGGAGGAAGAGGAGCGAGGAGCGAGAAGCGAGAAGGAGGAGGAGGAACAAACAAATACGTTCGTCTGCCTCCTGCTCCTCCTCCTCCTCCTCCTCCTCCTCCTGCTCCTCCTTCTCCTGCTCATCCTGTTCCTTCTTCTGGGCCATGAATATTCCCGCAAGCTTGCCGGCATGTTGCCCATGCCCACCCTGACCATTGGATACCAGATTACTCTGTCGCGATTGCTAGCGACCGATCGGCACTCCAAATCGCCACCTATCGCAACCGATTCCAGAATCGGTGGCGATAGGTCACGACCAATTTTGAAGCGAATCGGTCGCGACCGATCTCAGAATTTAAAGCAAAATTGGTGGCGACCAAATCTCGTCAGCCGCAATTGAAACGCCAATGTCTAATGACCGGGGCCTCCCCCGTCGCCGCCTTTTCGGCCTGCGCTGGGCCCGAACACCGTGCAAGTACCCTTCGGCTTTGGTGAGTTCTTGCTGTCCCTGACAGGACGGGCAGGGAACTCCCCCTCCATGCAAACAAACGTGACATAATCCAAGTGCGACATATATCGTTCTCTTCCTCCTCCTCCTACTCGTCCTCCTCAACTTCCTCCTCCTCGCCTCACCTCGCTCCTCCTCGTTCCTCCTCCTCCTCCTCCTCCTCCTCCTCCTCCTTCTCCTCCTCCTCCTCGCTCCTCCTCGCTCCTCCTCGCTCCTCCTCCTCCTCCTCCTCCTCCTCCTCCTCCTCCTCCTCATCATCATCACATCATCAGCATCATCAGCATCCATCAGCATCAGCATCGCATCAGCATCATACATCAATCATCATCATCATCAAGCATCATCATCATCACATCATCACATCAGCATCATCATCATCATATCATCAGCATCACATCATCATCATCATCATCTCATCATCATCATCATCATCATCATCATCATCATCATCATCATCAAAAAATCCCCTCCTCCTCCTCCTCCTCCTCATCCTCCTCCTCCTTCTCCTGCTCCTGCTCGCTCCTCCTCCTCGCTCCTACTCCTCCTACCCCTCCTCCTCATCCTCCTACTCCTCCTCCTCCTCCTCCTCGTCCCGGTGCTGGCGATGGTTGCCTTTGCTTCTCTTGGGAGCTGCAGCTATCGTCCCCTTCCTGCGCTCGCCGGCCTGGTGGGCAGGAAAGGGACATTGGAACAGAAAGCTCGATCTGGCCATTGGTGGGACCGACGAGCGCGATGACTGGGGGAGGGGAACGAAACAGGAGGCCGACGCGAGGGCGAACCGACGACTAATCGAGCACGCAGGGCTGACGAGGACCAAGAGGCGTGTGCGAGGCGGCGGTGGGGTGCTGCGGGGGCCCGGTCCCCACAGGGAAGCCACCAAGGGGGGAGGAAGAGGGGGGGGGGCGGGGATCTCCCCAAGTTGTTTATCGGGGTGTTGTCGGATCGTTGTGGGGACAAGAGGAGGCGGGGAGGTCGTCGCATGCTTGCGCCATGAGCAGCGATCCACGCGGAGGGCCCGGCCCGTGCCGCGGTCTGACTGCCCGTGCAGCGATCGGGGAAGCCGACGGGCGCTGCCACGCAGCCGAGGCAGACCTGGGGTGCGGGAGGGGCCCGGCCAGACATGCGGCGCCCTGACTTTCGTCAGTACGGGGTCCCTGGAAGTCCCGACCCTTTCCCCGGCACCGGCTTTGCGTCCTGAGCCGTTTCTGGCCGGCCCCGAGGCCCGGCGAGGGACCCCGGGGCCGAAAGGGGCCAAAAACCCTCCCGCCCGAAGCTGTGCACGACGCGGTCGCGCCTCCTGCCCCCCCCCCCCGCGGCCCGCGGCCCGCCCGGCGTCTCCGGTCTTGGAGGAGCCGACGTAGTCCACCAGGACCTCGGCGCGGAGCCGCCCACCCCTGGCGGCCCCGTCGAGCTGCGCCGCGGAAGAGGCTCCGCTCCGGGGGGGGGACGTGCAGGGGCAGAGGGGGGGGGGGAGGAGGGCCAGGAGGGAAACGGGGCGGTGAGGGGGGGGGGGAGGGTCGAGAGGCGAAGGAGGGGGAGGGGGGGGACGAGGGCGGAGAGGAGCGAAGGGACCAGTGGCGGGGCAGGGAGTGGAGGAGGGGGGGGAGGGAGAGGTGGGCGGGAGAGAGTCTTTGTGTAGTTTGTGGTTAGTGCTGCTCGCCTCGGCTGCGCCGCCGCCCGCCTCGGGCCACGGCGCCGCTCGCCTCGGCACGCTGGCGCTCCCGCGCCCGCTCCTCTGCGGGGAAGACCGCCCCGGCAGCGGCAGCTCGACGAACGCGCAAGAAGTGCCCCTTAATGGCACGAGGGGCCTCTCGTGCGCGGCTGCATGGCACCGCGAAGGGCCCAAGTCCAAGCGCGCGGGGGCCAGCCCTGTGAGCCCGCACCAAGTAAAAGGTCACTCTGGCGAGAAAGGTCACTCCTGCGTGTGGCCGGCAGGTCTGGCGGCGGCGCGGCCTCGGCGGCGGACGCGGCGCCCGCGGCAGCGGCGGCGCCGCCGGTGCGGGCGCGGCCGCGACGGTGCCGGGTGGCTGGAGCCGCGCGGGCGCAAGCGCGCGAGGCGACGGGCATGACGCGCGGGGCGGTCGCTGCGGCAAGGTGGGCGGCCGCCACGGGGCGCGAGCCCCGCCGCCCCGACTCGCGAGGCCGGGGGCAGCGGACGGCTCGGCGTTCGCACCCCCATCGTGCTCCTCCGCCCCTCCATCCACCTCCACCGCCTCCCACGAGCAGTCGCCCTCCCCCCAGCCTGCACTCCTCGCCTCCATCCATCCCGTGTCTTCCCCCCAATTCACCTCCTCATCACCATCATTGTCTTTTTTGTTTTTTTGTTTTTGTTGCCCGTCCTTTCTAACGTCAGGTGCAGTTCACCGCCCGCGCGAGTTCAACGCAGGACCGCAGGAAGCCGAAACGCGTGCCAATACGTATCCACTGTGCCCTCCTCATCACCATCATCTTCAAACCCCTCCCCCCGTCACCATCACCCCCACAATCACCATCCAAGTGTAAGGTCTTGCACTGTGAAAAAATTAGCAGCACACAAACAACTCAACATGAACGCAGCAACAAACCAGTACAAACTGAGCAATGCAAAACCAGATGCGCAGCGAGCCCGGCGCTTCGAAAAAGAAGGCACGACTGGATAGCCAATACAAGCTGAGCAATACTCAACACGAAATGTTCAGAACGTCATCAATAAGCAAGAAACAACTGACACTACTCAGTCAGCAATACCCAGCAAACAATACCCAGTAAGCAATCGTCCATAAACAATACCCAATCAACAACACGACATGAGTAATACTCCAGAAGGGCTACTAGAAAAGCAACACTGGATAAACAGTTCTTACATTGTACACTTACGTTGCGTTTTACTGCACACGTACGACTTACCCTTCAGGGGAGGAGGAAGCGGAGACGGAGGGGAGGAGGAGAAAGGGAAGGATGAGATGGGGACGACAGGAGGGGAGGAGAAAGGGAAGGGATGACAGGAGGAGGAGAAGGAGGACTTGGAGGAGGAGGAGCGGGGATCGATGGGGAGGTGGCGGAGGAGAACAGGAAGCGGGGATCGACGGGCCCCCCCTGGGATGGGGGAGGGAGGATACAGGGGAAGGGGAGAGGGGGAGCGGCGCAGGGAAGGGGGGGAGGTCACACCCGAGGGGGGGGGGCGGGGGGCCGGGGGCCGTGGCGAGAGGAGAATCGAAAGGGGGAGGGGGAAGGCGGGGCAAGAGGGGGGGGGGGTGGGGGGGGAGGCACGAGCCAGAGGCCGGGCTGCCCTCGGGTGCCCCTTGCGGTCCGCCCCGCGCAGGAAGGCGCTTGGGAACCGAAAGGCTCATCCACTGACTCTCCTCCTCCTGCTCCTCCTCCTCGCCCTCCTCCTCCTGCTCCTCCTCCTCGCCCTCCTCCTCCTCCTCCTGCTCCTCGTCGTCCTTCTCCTCCTCCTCCTCCTCCTCCTCCTCCTCCTCCTGCTCCTCGTCCTCCTTCTTCTCTTCTTCCTCCTCCTCCTCCTCCTCCTCCTCCTCCTCCTCCTCCTCCTCCTCCTCCTCGGGAGCACCCACTACATCAATGTCACTCATGCCAAGAGCGCGAACGGCGAATTATGTGAAAACATTATGTCCTGGGATGCCAGGCGTGAACATATCGAAACGGCCGTGCGATCGATGATCGCGGCATGAAGGACCACAACAATCGGGGTTCCCGATCGCGCCATCAACATACGCTATGAGCGAGACGGTGTCGTTGGGAACCAGCGCCAGGTACCTTCCAGGGGGGTTCAGTATGGGACGGCCCCGTAGATGAAGAACCATGGCCCTTGGTAAAGAAGCAGCTCATGGGTCGGACCAGGCTGTGTTAGGATAAATATGAGAAAGTCTTCCATGCCCCTGAGAGGCACTCCAAAAGCCCCTCCGATGCATCCAAGAGGCCCCTGACCCACTAGATTATCAAGGGGCCCTGAGACACTCACATAAATACACACAAATCCAAGGAGTTACCATATTTTCTCATGTTTTCTGGGTCTTCGTCTTCCCCCCCCACTTCCCATATCTCCCATATTTTCTATGGAATCGACGATTCATTGTGTGTGTGGTTTCCCCTCCTGGTAGATAACGCCCACGACCGAGACAAGGCTCTCACTTCTTCTGGGGGGGCCGGCGGAACGGCGCAGGCCACCTGAACAGGCCGGGTAACTGGGCAGCGCAACTACTCGCAGCAGCGCCACGAGGCGCACGGCTCCCTTCACACCCAGACCCCCTCGGGTAATGAAGAAAATCATGGCGGGAGGTGTTTCGCTATTTTCGGCCTCGGGGGGGGCCCTCGCCGTGCCTCGGGACCGTCAAAAAAAGACTCAGGATGAAACATCGGTCCAGGGGAATGGGTCGAGACCCCTCGAGAATGAGAAAATCCTGGCGGGAGGTGTTTCGCTAAGTATTGTTTTGTCTTCGATTCCCAGAGCAAAATGACACCCCAGATGAGGAACGAGACGCGTCTCAGATGCAACCTCTTTGTTGCACCATACCGCGCACACCATGCCCCTGAACCCCTTTCAAAGCAGGGATCAACAGAACACGGGTGGCACTACATATGAGGAATAAAACGCGGGAGGCCCTCGCCGTGCCTCGGGACCGTCAAAAAAGACTCAGGATGAAAAATGTGTCCAGGGGAATGGGTCGAGACCTCCAGGGGTCGACGTGATGAAAAAATCATGACGTCGGGGATCTGGGAACATAGCTTGGAGATCAGCAACGTGGAAAACTGAGATGATCTAGCCACCACTCCTCAGAGCACAGTGTGGTTCTGCTTTCCCATGGCCCAGCAGTCCCAAAGCGAGAGTACATCACGCCCAACGTGGGTGGGCCGGTATGCCGTCGAAGGTGCGCCTGGTACCAGTGCGACCCAACAAGTTGAAGTTGCGAGTGGCAAGAATGCAGCGACACAAAGAACAGCATGAAACGGGTACTGCGCCTCCACGAGCGCTAGCCTACACAGCCACCAGTGTGGTCTCAATGGCCTTTTGCCGCACACACACACACACACACACACACACACACACACACACACACACACACACACACACACACACACACACACACGCGCGCGCCACCCCGGAGGCTGCGGAAACAATCAGAACGAAAAGGCAAACGACGTAAACAGCACCCACCGCGATGTCCTAGGACACGCGTACCACGTATGGATCCGCGCCGTCGCCGCCACGGCCCCTCGTGACAGCAAAGACAACGCTCCCGCGCACAAGGCAACTGGCCAGCGCCTTCGGGGCCAGGGTCTCTTCAGAACACAGCAGGAGCCAATGCCTGCAAACCATCGACCTCTTGTAGCATGCTACGGGTTCGCGCCCTCGAGGCGACGAGCCCCTGGACAAAACGGTTAGCCGACGAGGGCCCTAAACTGTAGACTCTTGCAGTGTAGATGTGTGAGCTATAGGCACAACACTGCGATGCAAGCAACGTGATGCAAGCTATGCGGTACAAGCTGTGTGACGCAAGCTATGTGGTCCAATTCTACGTGGTGCAATATGCGTGGTGCAAGCTATAGGGTGCAAGCTATGTGATGCAACTTGCATGGCGCACGCTATGTGGTGCGAGCCAATGCGCGCAAGATGTAGGGTGCAAGCTATGCAGTGAAAGCAACGTGGTGCAATATTCGCTCTGCAAGCTGAGTGGTGCAATATGTGTGGTGCAATGTACGTGGTGTGAGCAGTGGTGCAGTCGACGTGGTGTGAGCTATGTCGTGCAAACTATGTGGTGTAGACCCTTTGTTCGCAATGAACTGTCATCCCCAATGCCCGCGCAATCATCCCACCTACCCACCCGCAGCTTGGTTTGCACAGCCTCCTCCTCCTCCTGTCCGCAGGGCCCCAAAGCGCCCAAGGGCACTGGCAGTCGGAATCACGCCCTACGCTTCACACCGGGCACACGTGCTCCTGATGGCAGCCTCGTACGAGGCAACATTGTCCAGCGCGCGGCCGACTCAGGGAACCCCTGGACTTAAGTCGGGCCTGTCCCCCTACAGGCCGATTCTGGACGACAAATAAAAAATGGTCCAGAACTACAATTAAATTATCAAAAATGGTCCAAATCAAATCGTCCCAAGACTATTGCTTGACCATTTTTGAAGATCCCCCCTGTAGAGGGACACGCCCGACTTAACCCTGGACTGATGTTGTTCCCGTCCTACTTAGAACCGCATCCCCAAAATAAGTTCGAGCACCCGGAAAAATGTCAGAAGAGAGTGTCGAAACAGCGTCAGAACAGTGTCGGGCGAGTGTCTCCCAGGGCCCGGCACGTGAAAACCTTCTCGAACGTCGGTACTTGTTTCTGGTGCTCGAGAAACTTTCTGGTGATCAGGGCTAAAGCAGGCTGGGGCATCCTGACCTCGGGGATGGACAGACCCCCTTTGGCAAAACGTGGTTTAGTGACAACGACCTGAGGCCCAAACCCGGCGGGCGCAGGCCTGGAAAAGAACGGCCACGGCGCCATCTCGAGAACCGACAACGGACCACTCACTAATCGACGTGTCCCTGCTGGGGTTCTCTGTCCACCCCCGATGACCCTCTGGGCCCCGAGCACCCGGACGCCCAGCGAGCGGAGACCAACACCGGCGACGGAGGCCACTCGCTGCCTGTTTGTTCGGCCTCTCCGCGGGGGCCCTCGCCGTGCCCGGGGTCCGTCGAAAGGCGGCGGACGCTGGAGCGCTGGCCCTGGGGCACACCAAGTAAATCGACACACATCACCGGATACCCCATATTTCTTGATAGTTTCCCTATTTGCTTGAGTATACATATTTCCCATCTGTTCCACATGTTTTATAAACGCAAGAAATGGGCACATAGTTGTCCATATTTTCTAAGGAATTGCGTCTTCCCCCCCACTTCCCACACTTTCCCATCTTCTCCCGGGAGCCGACGATCCATTGTGTCTCTGTGTGTGTTGTGTGTGTTGTGTGTTGTGTGTGTTGTGTGTGTTGTGTGTGTTGTGTGTTGTGTGTGTTGTGTGTGTTGTGTGTGTGTTGTGTGTTGTGTGTGTGTTGTGTGTGTTGTGTGTGTTGTGTGTGTTGTGTGTGTTGTGTGTGTGTGTGTTGTGTGTGTTGTGCGTGTTGTGTGTGTTGTGTGTGTTGTGTGTGTTGTGTGCGTTGTGTGTGCTGTGTGTTGTGTGTGTTGTGTGTGTTGTGTGTGTTGTGTGTGTTGTGTGTGTTGTGTGTTGTGTGTGTTGTGTGTTACGTGTGTTGTGTGTGTGTTGTGTGTGTGTTGTGTGTTGTATGTGTTGTGTGTGTTGTGTGTGTTGTGTGTTGTGTGCTGTGTGTTGTGTGTTGTGTGTGTTGTGTGTTGTGTGTGTTGTGTGTGTTGTGTGTGTTGTGTGTGTGCTGTGTGTGTTGTGTGTGTTGTGTGTGATGTGTGTGTTGTGTGTGTTGTGTGTTGTGTGTGTTGTGTGTGTGTGTTGTGTGTGTGTTGTGTGTGTTGTGTGTGTTGTGTGTGTTGTGTGTTGTGTGTTGTGTGTTGTGTGTTGTGTGTTGTGTGTTGTGTGGTGTGTGTGTTTGTGTGTGTGTTTTTGCTCCCCTCCTGACCGGAGGGCCGCCGAAAGACAGCTCACGAGGGACATCCAGGGACCACGTACCGAAGATCATCGAGACACTGGGTATCGGGAGCGCGGCCAAGAGGGGGGTGTCCAAGAGGGGGGGTGCAAATCATGACCGGCGGCATGTGCGCGGCCCAGCGGGGGGGCCAGGGACGCAATGAAATAAGAAGAGGCGCCATGAAATCTGGGGAAATATCATGGCCCACGCCATGATATCCACCCCCCCCTAGTCATCACCCCCCTCTCTGCCGCCCCCGAAAAAATCCGGACATGTTGACGTGCCGCTTCCGCTGCCGGCGCCTCCCGCCGCCCTCCCGCCGGAGGACCCGCCGCCGGCTCCCGCCGGCAAGGCGCCGGCCTCCGCCGCGCCCGAGGCCGGGCCCTGTGGCTGGAGCGCGCCGGGTGCACTCGTGGACCTCGCATGCCCTCGGGGCCCCCATCGTCAGACACTCGTTGCACCGGCCTTGCAGACGTGCTGCAGCTGCCCGAAGCGGCGCGTGAAAAACGAGATGAATGCCGCGTGGATTGTTGTTTAGTCTTCCTTCCTGGCCAAGAAAAGTCGCCCGACATTCGCCTCGAAATGCGGAACGAAATTATCCAGGACACTCCTGGCCCATCCGATCGCTTTCCGATTGAAATCAGCTCTGCGACATTGGCGCGATGAAAACACCTTCCTTCATGGCCCTCATCCTCGTCAGCACCCTCCTGCCCCTGCGGCGGAGGCACCCGGGTCCCTGGCTGGCGGTGGCACTGCACGCCTTCGTCGACCACAGCGTGCCTCGCCAAAAGGGAGGGGGAATCCGAAGACCGACGATGACGGCGACGACCACCACCACCACCACGACAACGACGACGCTTGGCGACGGCGGCGAATACGACGGCGTCTTTCGAAGACGAAGGATGCGGCGAATGGAAACCCGTTCGTGGAAGAACGACAGAAGTTTGTAAAATATCCACCACATGGCCCGTCAAAGAAACACGACGGGCGCGTGCGCCCATAAATTCGGCATGCGGGGCCCTTTTTGGGGCCGAAGGACCGTCATAATAACTCGGGATTGAACTCCGAAGCCGGGGACGGACCCAACAACATCTGAGGGTTCCAGCCACGAAAAAGCACTGACGTCGGAGAAAAATACTCAGAAGTCTGAGCCAGCTCTCATGTGCATGCGTGTACGTAAGATCCCACCTAGTGCTTCGGCCCCTGGGGATTCGCTTTGGGCCTGGGCCCCTTTCGAGTTGACCCAACGCGAAAGACGCACAGGTAGGAAAGAGACGTGGGCCAGCCTAGCGGGTCTTTCTCACAGAGCGTAGGCCTTGGGGGGAGGGATCGGAAGGAGCATGCAGGAGGAGGAGGGAGGAGGGAGGAAAGAGGATGTAGGAGGAGGACGGAGGAGGGGGAGGAGGGAGGGGAATATCCTCCTCCTCGGCCTCCCTAATCCCTCCTCCTCCTCTTCCATCATCCCTCATCCCTCCTTCTCCCCCACCTTCCCCCTGCAGGGGTAGCATGAGGAGAAGGAGGCCGAGGAGGAGGAGGACGAGGAGGAGGAGGAGGAGGAGGAGGAGGAGGAGGAGAACGAGGGGGAGGAAGAGGAGGAGGAGGAGGAGGAGGAAGAGGAGGGGGAGGAGGACCTCCTCCTCCTCCTCCTTTTCGTTCCCTCCTCCTTCTCAGCCTCTTCCTCCTCATCCTCCTCCTCCTGCTCCTCCTGCTCCTCCTCCTCCTCCTCCTCCTTCTCCTCCTCCTCTTGCTCGAGAGAGCGCGCCTCCGCGAGCTCTCCCCCGACCCCCCCGCGCCCGGGCCCACCCCCCGCCGCGCGCCGCCGCGCGTTCCCGCGCCCGCGCGCTGCCTGCCGAGCTGACCACCTACCAGACAACCCCAACCCAACCCGAAGACCCGAACTTGACCCGAATTTCGGGTTGGGAGGGATACGGGCTCCATGTGTTTTTTCAATGTTCCCCCCCCACACACTGGAAATGGAGGGCAGATTGAAGCCTTCGGCTTGGCTTGGGGTGGTTTGGTGAACGGTGCGTTCCATGAGAGGGGGGAGCGGTCGCCATTCGCCACTGCAGGGAGCGGCAAGGACAGCGACGCCCGCTCAAGCCACTCTCGCGCAGGCCGCCAATCCACGCTCACTGCGGCTGCCCTCATCCTCGCCACGGCCCCATGGAGAAAGACGGAGGCCGACTGCAGCCAGCCACACTCGCCTATGCGGTGCCGGCCCATCCTGATCTGCAGCGAAGAGCCACCCCCGGCCAACCGATGGGAAGGCCCGCGCACAATCGTCAGCGCACAGCATCGGCACGAAGGGCACGCGCGATGAATCTAGCAATCGGCCGCGCGCGCTCCCGCCCTCCTCGAGAACGCGGGGGCCATGGCCATGACAACGAGATTGGAGCACGGTCGCTCCGACCACGTCGATCCGATTCCTCAGGATCGGCAGCGATGCGGAATGACCGCCAGAAGCGAATCGCAATCCATGAGGGCGCGAATATCAAGATCCGACCACCGACGAACGGACAACACACGCTCACACCCAAAGGGGGGATGGAGGGGGCGACGGGCGCGGGCTGTCGGACGGCGACCCCCGCTCGAGCGGCCCCCCCCCCGCGGCCCGGCAACCCGCGCCCGTGCGCATGGCCAGTCTTCCTCCCTCCGATCCCCCCATGGGCATGGGTGCGTGTTGTTCTTTCGTCAGTCAATCCTCGAAGAGATCTGACGCGGCCGACGCCAATGAATAGGTCGAGCGCCATCAGGCTAGATCATTCGCTTCCAGGCCGCACTCCACTGAGTCCCGTGCCGGCGGCGCGCCTGCGACGAGCCGAGCTCCGGGCGCCTCGACGGAGCAGGCGTGGGAGACCCAGAGTTGGGCCCTTCGACGTCACCGTCTGAGATCGCGAAGTCACCCACCAAGCACACCGAATACCGAAGAGAATCAGCACGGGCTAACGATAGCTGCCGGTGAAGTTCCGTGTGAAGTCTGCGTGTGTCCTCGCGGCCGGTGTCGTGGTTGTGCACGTTCCACTGGAACCACGCGGGAGATGAAGCAGCAAGGATAACTAGGAAAACCGCCCAACCACAACCACTTCCTTGGAAACGTCGGGGGAAAAAAAAACAACTTCACGGCACACGCGCAATGGTTCAACCATTGCGCGGCTCAGGGCGAGGGTGATCGAGATAGAGATGAGGCTTGGCCGACGTCCGAAAACATAAACAGCAGCGCCTATACCTGAGCAGCAAGCTTTTTGAACACATTGACAGAGAACCCACTCATCAACTTCTCAATCGCACGCACTTGTGCCGCCGTGCATTCCGATTTGTGCTGAATTCGGGCACGCGCGTTCCAGGATATAAGGCGACGGCGATGGCGCCGTCGAAGATCCTGGTACCAATTCCACAGACTGTCACGATGTCCAATAGCCTCGGATGCTAAGTCTTCCGCTGCACGCCTCGACATCTGCAGCTTGCCCAACGCATCGGGGTTCCACTTGAAAATAAGCTTGCCAGACGGATGACCTGTCACTTTGAGAACGCGCAGCTACGACATTGAGATGACGCCTTCCTCGCTGTCAACATAGGCTGGGCAGCCGAAATGGATGCTGGACGCATGCTTGATTTCCTTGCATGCATTTTCTCGCGCCGCGCGAATTGGCGCCACTGCCGGGCCTGCCCGTCGCTCAGCAGCAGCACTTTGGAACGTAAGCGCGAGAGAGCGCGACATTTCCTCACTGGCTAACCATCCAAGACCACCTCCTGCCCGATGGTGAAGCTGGCGCCCTGTAGACACGGTGACAGGCCTGCAAAGACGCCCTCAAACCTGACGTCTGAGAGGGCGCGCACCAGAAGTATAGACATGTCAAATTGCCACTCCCATTGTCCAGTGCGAGCGATCGGCACCTGGAGCTTTTCCCGAGATAAGACCAAATCCTGATCGAGGGCCTTGAATGTCTCCTCGTAAGAAACTTGAATGCTGCAAAGCTCCGGTAACTATGATTACACTGCACCCATACGACGAGCATGCTGGGATAGCTGGCCTTGGATCTGTTCCTCGAGCTGCTTGAACATGGACAGCATGGCAAAGGAGACAACGGCAAGCACCTTTTGACCGATCGTAGGTACCACTTCATTACGAACGACGTCCTTGACACTCTGTCCCCAAGCCCACCTCGCATCTGATCAATAAGTCCACACCCGCTGCCCAGAGTCCACGGATCCGCCTGACCATCTGGCTCGGTTGCAGATGCACCATGGGCACCTCGCCACCGACCCGCCCGTTGATGGCGCGGGGCCCCCCATGCGGCAGCAGCCGGAGGAGGTGAGGGCCAGGGCGGCGGCATCTGACCTCCACCACCTCGGACGGACCCAGAGTGAACAGCAACCTCCTGTGAGGCGGGCGACGGGAGCGTCAGAGCCTCGAGGAAAGCAGACAGGAGAGCCGAGTCGTCCTCCTCCTGGCTCGCCGCGCCGACCTCGGCGCCGCCTCCAGACTCAAGCCGACGGGGGGCGACGGTCAGCACAGGGCGAACGCGATCTCCTCTCACTGCGTGATCCCTGACCGAGAGTGGCGTGGACCTCACCTCCCCCGCGCTGCTTGCCCGAACGCCTGCCGGGTCCTTGCGCTGCAGGAGGGATGGGGCATTCGGCGGTGACCTCCGGCACGTGGCCGTCGCCGCCCGCACTCCGACGAGCACAGCGGGGAGCAGCAGTGTCTGCCCCATGCTTCCTGACCTGCTTGTCCTTCCTGTCCTTCTTGCCTGGCATGAGCATCGGCTGGGGAAGGCGCTGGAAACTCCACAGACTACCCTCTCCAGACAGTGCCAGCAGAGCTGACTGTGGAACAACACCGCCCTACCACGCGCTAGGGCGACAAGATCCTGACCTGGGCGAGCAGGCCGAGAGAGATCGGGGTCTAGCCGGGACCCCTGGGAACGTTACATCTTGAGCCAGAATGGCTACGGAAGGTGTGGAGGCGAAGGAGGAATAAGGAGGAGGAAAAGGAGGAGGAGACGAGGGAGGAGCGAGGAGGCGAGGGAGGAGGCGAGGGAAGAGGACAATGAGGAGGCATGGACGGAGGAGGGGGCGAGGGAGCGCGCCCCCGAAGAAGGGTCGGCTCCCAACCCCGCTCGGAGAAGGCCGCGGCGACGCGCGGCTCAGCACGGGACTATATAACCCGCGCGCGATACGGGGACCAGGTCACCACCTGAGGTGCCTGGTCCCCGACCGCGTCGCCGCACTCGAGCGTGCCGACGAGCATGTGCAGGAGGGGGGAGGGACGGCGGGCCAGCCGCGAGACGGCCAAGCCCTCACCGTCCCCCACTGCCACCCCCCCTGCAGCCTCGCAAAGCAGCTGGTCCAAGGGCAGCCCCTCGCCATCTGCGCGCACGGCGGCGCGAACGACCTCCTGCCGCGAGGCGCTCGCCGAGGAGGGATGCCGAGGCAGGCGCCGCCGCACCGTCACCACCGCCGAGGCCAGCACCTGTTCCCGCCGACAGCGCACCGTCCGCTCCAGCCGTGCCCGCCCCATCCTGCGCAGCAGCAGCCGCTCCGCCGGCTCCCCGAGGCCGCTCCGCAGCCGCCGCGAACTGCCGCCGCCGACGGCACCGCGCACGGCGCGCCAGGGCGCCAGCCCACCTGTCGGACTCGAGGTCCGACCTCTCCGCGCCTGGCCCCTCGGGCGCCGCCCCAAGCCGTCTGCGCGAGCACCGGGCCCGCGCCCGCGCGCGACCGCAGCAGCACCAGCGGCGCCAGCGTCCGCGGCAGCAGGGAAGCCCGCCGCCGCCAGCGCACCCGCATCGGTCTTCGCCATGTCGAGGCCGTCGCCGCCGCCAGCCGCGCCGCCAACCGCAGCCGCAGCAGGGGCCCCACCCGCGCGAGGCCGGCTGGCACGGCGCAGACGCCTGCGCCGACGCGCCTCCCTTGCGGCAACGGCGTCAGGCGGCGCGTCAGGCGCTCCATCGTGTCCAGGCCCCTCGGCAGGCGTCGCGGCGGGTGGCACGGGCCCCTCGGACAGCCTGAAGAGGGCTGCAGCTACCGCCGCGCGCGCCACGGCCGCCACCGTCCTGCGGGGTGCCTTTGCCGGCGCCGCCCCGCGGACCGCCGCCTCCACCAGCGAAGCAGCGGCAGCTAGCGGCGCACGATCCCCTCTAGACCACCCCCGCCCCCGCACATCCATCGGAACGGCCGCGGCAGCAGGCATGCGCAGGCTCGAGCCAGAACGGCCACGGAGGAGGAGGAGGCGAGGGAGGAGCGAGGAGGAGCGGGGAGCGACGGAGGAGGAGCGACGGAGGAGGAGCGAGGGAGGAAAAGCGAGGAGGAGTCGGAGGAGCGACGGCGACGGCCCACGGCGGCGGCGGAGGCCGGCGGCGACGGCGCCTTCCTCGCAGCAGTCGCCGCCGACGAGCCCGGCGGGGGCGCCGTGGCAGAGCGGCGGCGCCCGCAGGACGCAGCTGTTGCGGGCGGAGGGAGGCGAAGCGGGACACGCACCACCATCATCATCATCATCATCATCATCATCATCATCATCATCATCATCATCATCAGCATCATCAGCATCATCATCATCATCATCGTCATCGTCATCGTCATCATCATCATCAGCAGCAGCAGCATCATCATCTACTCCATAACCGGCATCAGCGCCAGCACCATTAGAATCATCATCATCACCACCACCATCATCATCATCAGCATCATCATCATCAGCAGCAACAGCATCAGCATCAGCATCAGCATCATCACCATCACCATCACCATCACCATCACCATCATCATCATCATCATCATCATCATCATCATCGTCATCATCATCATCATCATCATCATCATCATTATCGTCGTCGTCATAGTCAGCATCAACAGCAGCAATAGAAACAACATAAGGATCCCACTCCTCCCCATCCTCCTCCACATCCTCCTCCGCTGCTTCTTCTGATGCGTCATCATCATCATCGCCCTCCTCAGTATCATCGACAGCAACATCATCAACATCAACATCGTCATCATCAGTACCGTCGTCAACCCCACCGCCATCAGCATCATCGTCATGATCATCAGCATCAGCATCAGTCAGCATCATCATCAGCATCAACATTACAAGCATCATCAGCGTCATCACCATACAAATCATCATCATGTCACTTGTCATCTCCATCATCATCATCATCAGCAGCAGCAGCAGCATCATTATCCTCATCACCAACACTAGGATCATCATCAGCATCAACATCAAAATCATCATCAGCACTATCATCAGCATCATCATTATACTGAGCATCATCCTCATCATCATCCTCATCATCATCCGCAGCATCCTCATCATCAGCAGCACGATGAGCATCATCAACATAATCATCATCCTCATCATCATCCTCATCATCATCATCGTCATCGTCATCTCCATCCTCAAGAATAATATCATCCTACTCCGTCGCATGTTCATCATCGTGGTATTCCTCCTCAACATGATCGACGGCAACATTATCAACATAAACATCGTCATCATCAGTACCGTCGTCCACACCAGCATCATCAGCATCATCATCATCGTCATCCTCATCACCCATGCCATCATCACCATCATCTTCACCATCAACATCAGCCTCATCCTCATCACCGTCAACAACATCCGCAGCAGCATCATAATCAGCATCATCAGCATCATCAGCACCATCATCATCATCATCATCATCATCATCATCATCATCATCATCATCATCATCGTCAGCAGCAGCAGCATCACCCTCGTCGTCTAGTTCGTCATCGTCAGCATCAGCATCAGCATCAGAAGCATCACCATCATCATCATCGCCGTCGACAGTAACATCTGCATCAGCATCATACTCAGCATCACCCTCATCATTATCATCATCATCAGCATCATCATCATCAGCATCATCATCATCCGCAGCAGCATCATCATCATCGTCAGCACTATGATCATCATCATCATCCTCCTCATCATCATCGTCATCGTCATCTTCATCCTGAAGAACAGCATCATCCTACTCCGTCGCCTGTTCATCATCGTGGCCGTCTTCCTCAACATAATCGACGGCACCATCATCCTCATCATCATCCTCATCATCAGTACCGTCGTCCACACTAGCATCATCAGCATCAGCAGCATCGTCAGCATCAGCATCATCATCATCACCCTTGCCATCATCACCATCATCATCACCATCAACGTCAGTCTCATCATCATCATCACCGTCATCAGCATCCGCAACATCATCATCAACATCATCAGCAGCATCATCAGCACCGTCATCATCATCAGCAGCAGCATCCTCGTCGTCTAGTTCGTCGTCGTCAGCATCAGCATCAGCATCAGCAGCATCGTCAGCATCATCATCGCAATCGTCAAACACAGCAGCAGCAACACCTTCGATCTCATCAGAATCATCAGCAGCATCAGCATCAGCATCATCATCGTCAGTATCATGATCATCATCATCATCATCAGCAGCAGCAGCAGCATCAGCATCAGCATCAGCTGCATAATCATCGTCATCATCAGCTGCATCATCATGAACAACATCATCACAATCATCAGCATCATCATCACCATGGTCGTCAGCCGAAGAATGATCATCAGCATCAACACCATCGTGTTCGTCATCATCAGCAGCACCATCATCATCATCATCATCATCAGCAGCATCATCATCATCAATATCGCCATCATCAGCATCATCGTCGTTGTCGTCGTGTTCGTCGTCGTGAGCATCAGCATCAGCATCAGCATCAGCAGCTTCGTCCGTATCACCATCGCCATAGTGAGAATCAACAGCATAATCCTCTTCGTGATAAGCATAGTCAGCAATAGCATCATCATCAGCAGCATCATCATCCTCACCAGCATCATCATCAACATCGTCATCGTCAGCATCGTCGTCATAAGTATCATCATGATCATCAGCATCATAATCATCCGCATCGCCATCATCATCATCATCTTCCTCATCAGTATCATCATCATCATCATCATCATCATCATCATCATCATCATCATCATCATCATCATCATCGTCATCATCAGCGGCATCATTTTCGCCGCCATCAGCATCATCAGCATTAGCATAAATTGCTGTCGTCGTCATCAGTGTCGTCAATATGATCATCATCATCATCATCATCATCATCATCAGCAGCAGCAGCAGCAGCAGCAGCAGCATCATCAGCGTCATCGTCGTTACCTCCCCTCTCATCTGGCTTCCTGGAAGCCTCGCGTGGAAACGCAGCTGTGCGCGGCGACACAGCCCCGAGGCAGCGTGGATGATCCAAGGCACAGTCGGCACACACGCTAAGGAATCTTGCTATGAGGAATCTCGGGGCACAGTCCTCGTCGATCTCTGTGCGGGTCCCAAAGGTGCCCCAGAGCTTCTGCGGGTCCCTCGGGCCACCGGGGGGGTCAGAGACTTCCGCGGGGACGACTGCTGGCAGGCCAGTCTCGTACTTGGCGTGCCCAGCACATGAAGCCGAAGCAGGAGACCCAAGAGAGGTTAGAGCCAAGCAGGCGATCAAACTGAACCACAGAACTTGGCGCCCCGCGCCGAAGGAAGCGCGAAGCGCGATCATCGCCGCGCCCCCGCGCCGCACCTGCGCAAGTGGAATCAGATAAGCCTGCATCCCAGACCGCGAAGCGCGAACCGTAGTTCTTGCCGCGCCAGCCCCCCCGGGGGCGATCTCGAAAGCCTACGCACCAGATCCGTTCAAGATGGGTCCCCAGACATCCCTGACTACCTACCAGACCACCCCAACCTAACCCGAAGACCCAAATTTCGGGAGAGGGGGGAGGGTACGGGTTCCACATGTTTTTTAATGTCCCCCGATACCCCCACCACTGGGAATGGAGCGCAAATTGGGGCCTTCGGGTTGGGTTGGGGTGGCTTGATGGGTGGTGAATCCCTCCAGAGTTCTATCCTGGCGAGTTGTTCGAGCTGCGTCCAGCCGCGGCCACGAGGAATCCCCAGGAGGCCCTGCAGAGTGCACAAGGGGTAGGACTGCTCAGTCCTCTCCAATCCCCCAAAAGTCCAGACACCTTCCCCAGGACCAGCTTCTCATCCCGAGTCGTCGTTCCGCAGCCACGGGGCCCGGCACGGGCCCCCCACGAAACTGAAAAAAGTGAAGCACGGCCCATCCCTGAGATCCGACGTTGCGAACAGAGTAGCAACATCGCGAAACATCACGACTGGAGCCCGATGAACCCCACACTTCTGCTGCATCTTTCTGGCCCGATCACTCAATGGCCCCGGAGCCCGAAGCTGGGCACAAGCGCCAGGTGTGAGAAACATGCGGCGCCCGGATCTCAGGTACCCGTCTTGATTCTTCGCGCCGCGATCCCAGACATGCGCCGTCGTGATTTTTTCAGCACGGGGTCCCTGGAAGTCCCGACCCTTTCCTCAGGACCGGCTTTTTCATCCCGAGTCATTTTGTTGACGGTCCCGCGGCCCTACGAGAGCCCCCCGAGGCAGAAATTGGCCAAAGCCGTCCGCCCTTATTTTTTGCCACGACGCGATCATGTCTGGGATCGGGTCTGGACCGATCTTTGCTCGTGGCATCGGCCGCGGGCAGAACGGGGCGAGCGCAGCGGTCCTCTGCGGCAGCCAGCCCGCCTGGCCGCTCGGCGCGCAGCGGCCGTAGATCCAGCCCCTCTCCTCCGGGCTGGTGCAGTCGCCCAGGTGCAGCACCTCCACCTCGGCGAGTGCATCCTCCTCCTCCTCCTCCTCCTCCTCCTCCTCCTCCTCCTCCTCCTCCTCCTCCCTCCTCCTCCTCCTCCTCCTCCTCCTCCTCCTCCTCCTCCTCCTCCTCCTCCTCCTCCATCCCCCCCTCCTGCTCCTTGTCCTCCTCCCCCGCCACCCACTCCTGGGCGGGGGGGAGAGAAGAAGGGGGCAGCTCTCCTGCCCATCCGCGGTGCGGCTCTCGGTGACGAGCTGCACCGCGCGGGCCAGTTTCACCCTTTGTGCGATCGGCGCGGTGCCTTTACTAGCGAGTGGGGATGCAAACCGGTCTTGCCCTGCCATGGGCCCCCCCTCCCCCCGCCGAACCCGCGGCCTCGTACAGTCGGCCCGCATCATGAGGATGCGCGGTAGGGCTGCAGGGGCCTTGAGGGCCACGCCGACACTCTGCGAGCGGGGCGCGCCCAGCGAAAGCGGCCGAGGATGGGCCGCGGAGGCAAGGATGCAAGGGTACCCTCACGAAGGTTGCCACCCCTACTATGCGGGTTGACTGTATCGCCGCTCGCTCCTGCGCCGTTGTGAGCGCCCGTGCGATGCAAAGCCCTCCCTCGGTGAGGGGTGCCGCTCCCCTGCACAGGACGTCTGTAACATCGGCACCAGAGAACAACACACCACCACCCTTCGACGGCAGCGGCTGCAGCGAGGGTGACTGCAAAGGCTCTCGCTGCCGCTGGCTGGGAGGACCTGCCCTGGACGCGTGGGCGACCACGCGGCGCCGAAGAGCAGCGAGAGCCAAAGTACGCCTGACGAACATGATACCGCACGCCGCCGGCCTGCCTGGCCGTCGGAGGGCAGCTGGGCAGGACAGGCTGGGCCTCCGCCGTCAGGCAGCTCGGCGGCAACCTGGCGCAAGACCCGCTCTGGACTCCGCTGTCCCTTGGCCCGAGGAGGAGCGGGCTCGTCGGGAGCGGGTGCAGGTTCGTCAAGGCCCTTGGCAGCGAGGTCCACTACACGCAGCGTAACTCCTTCCAGCTTCGGGTGGAGCCCCCCGACGATGCGGTGCCAGCTGTACCTGCGGCCTCGCACGCGATGATCAGTCAACACAGCAAGCGTGGGAAAGGATCGTGCTCTTGAACCTCGAGCCTGCCCCCGACAGAGGAAAGCTTGCAACGTGCGCACACGGTCACAAACGAGGCATCGGAGCAATCCAATGGGGCCATCGCGTGTCCGAGGGACTTCTGAGGTCCTCCGCGCTGAGCCCCCGACGGCCCGCAGCCCAAGGGCACCCGGACGGAGGGGGAACGGAAGAGCGCGATCCCCGACGACACACACTTAGTCTTGCCACACGCTCTGGAGTCCGACCCACGAGTGGCCTTCACGCTTCACGCGAGCAACTCTGGAAACTGACCTGGGGATGCTGCGGAGGCACCCAGCGAGTGCGCCCGCCGCGGCCACACCATTTGACAGAAGGCAATGTGAGGCAAGGTCTTGCCAGCTCAGCCCTAGCAGCAAAAAACAGCCTCTCACTCCTGCTCGTCCTTCTCCTCCTCCTCCTCCTCCTCCTCCTCCTCCTCCTCCTCTTCCTCGACCTGCTCGTGTGATTCCTCCCTCCTCCTCCTCCTCCTCCTCCACCTCCTCCTCCTAATTCTCGTCCGCCTCCTCCTCCTCATTCTCCTCCTCCTCCACCTCCTCCTCCACCTCCTTCTCATCGTTCCCATGATATGTCTTCTCCTACTCCTCCCTTTCTCCTGGCTAGTCCCTTGCTCCCCCTCCCACCCTCCCCCTCCTCCTCCTCTTGCTATAACCCTCCTTCGTCGCCTCCTGCTCCTCGCCCTCAATCCCCCCTCCTCCTCCCCTCCTCCTTCTTCTCGGTTTCCACCTCGTCTTCCTCCTCCTGCTCCTCCATCTCATTGATCCCCTCCCGATATCCTGTTATCCTCTCCCGCGGTGTGACATATCTTCACCTTTATCAACCTCCTGCTGCTCCTCCTCCTCCTCCTCCTCCTCGCTCTCCTCGTCCTCCTTGTCCCTTTCCTCATCCTCCCGTCGGATCCACGCCCCAGCGGCATGAAATATCTTCCTCCTCCTCCTCCTCCTCCTCCTCCTCCGCCTCCTGCTCCTCCTCCTCCTACTCTTGCTCATCCCCTTCCCCTCCTCCATTCGTTCTCCTTCTGAATAACTCCTGCCTGTCGCATTCCGAGGCTGGTCAAGAGGGCGTACCGGGCGTTGTGCCTGAGACTTCCTCACCATTTATGTTCCCGAAGCTTCACATTTGCAACAGCTTCAGAGATGGTGGGCCGCCTTCAAAAAGTGGCTTTCGCATTAGCGCCGTGCAGATTCGTTGAAAAAGTGAAGAGTTTCACGGATGGAAGGCGGGCGGCTGTCGTAATGAGGCTCTCGCCTCAGAGCCGCGCACATTCGTTCTAAAAGTCCGCATGAATTTCACGGATGGTGGGCGGTACCTTAGGTACCTTTTCGAAATGTGGCTTAGACTTAGCGCCGCGCTCATGCGGCTTAAGACTTCACAGCAATTCGAACAATTCAGATGGCTGACGTCCCGGAAACATGTTGGCAATTTTGGCAGGATGTAAGACTATCAGGGAACAACAATTACGTTGATTCGCGGTTGAAGCCCCCGGAGCCGTGTTTGGCACGATTCAGCATAGTAAGGACGCAACACACACGTTGACTCGTGGCGCTGGAATCCCAGGAATGGTGCTCTGGCACGGTTCCGGATTGTCAGACGGCTGTCTTCCAATGGGGCCCTTCATCCGTGAAAACGGATCCTTGCAGAGACCCATGAAGAGGGAACTTCGAGGGAAGGTTTCTTGCACCATCGTTGATGAGACTTCGGATTACACTGGCCCTTCCTCCTCCTCCTCCTCCTCCTCCTCCTCCTCCTCCTCCTCCTCCTCCTCCTCCTCCTCCTCTTTCTCTTTCTCCTCCTCCTCCTCCTCCTCCTCCTCCTCCTCCTCCTCCTGGCCCCCCTCCCATGAAACGGCGCTGAACGGAGGAAGGGGTCCTGGAAAATCGCCGCCATCTTTGGGCACCTCTGGGGGCCCTCCACGGGCCCCACAGGACCGCCATCAGAACGGCCAAGACTGAAATTTCGCGGCGCGCAGAAGGGGGGGGTAGGGGGAGCGGGGAAGGCTTCTTCGAAGGAGGCTGCCTCTTAGAAAGCGCGGGCCTTACTTACATCTACAGATCAGGCCCATGTCTAGGCGCGGTTCTAAGAAGCAGGGGAGCTTCTAAGAAGCCCTCCTCTCTCCCCCTCCCCCCTCTGCGCGTGGCCGAGAAGTACTGGCTCTGTGGAAAGCCCTTGGGCCTGGGACCTGCTTTCCTTCATGTGGACGGCTCCACCGCGCTCTTCTCCCTCTGGGCCTTCGCGAGGAGGCCCCATCAACAGCCATGGCCGCACGTCTGGACGCGGTTCGGACCAAACGCTCAGGATGGTGTCCAGGAGGGGCCCAGGAATCGACGCAGAGGGAAGGCGCCACAGCCAGACCACCGATCCAACCGTCGCTCAACTCGGCTCGCGTCCGGGGCCTGGTTTCGGGCGGATGCGGATCGTCGCCGCTCTACCTCTTCCCCCGAGATCACGACAAGCGTCTCCAAGCCCGCGTGAGGCCCCTGGGGCAGGTCCGGGGCCTGGTTCCGGGCGGATGTGAATCGTCGCCGCACTACCTCTTCCCCCAGACCACGACAGGCGTCTCCAGGCCCGCTTGAGACCCCCGGAGGCCCGTGACACGCGGGTCGATTTGGCCCGAGAAAACTGCCGCGAAGAGGTGGGGTGGAGAGCTCCTGCCGTGATCTGCTCACGGCGCTGTGGTCTTCAACGACGTCGGGTCTGAGACTCTGCCCTCCCTGAACCCAAGGATGAGCGCATAGCCTGCAGTTCCGCCAGCGGCGGCGAATTGCCCCAGACCTCAGCGAACGCATTCACGTCTTCGGTGGTGGGGGGGGGGCCCAGACAGAGGCCCCGACCTCCTGCCCCGGGTCCCAGGGCAGCTGGTGCCTGGACTTCCCCTGGGCGTGGTCCCCAAAAATCCCGACCCCTTCCACAGGGCTGCTCTTTGACCGCAAGTCGCTCCTGGATGGTCCCCCGGGCCCGGGGGGGGCACCTGTGGAGGTCGAACGCGACTAAGACAACCTACGTCTTGCTTGCCTTTTGGGGGGCCCCGCCTCGGCTGAGTATCGTTTAACTGATCCCCAGCCCCAGCGGTGTGGCCTGGGCCCCAATGGCCGATGTACCCCCCTTGGATGGGGATATAGGCCGTTCCCTTCGGGTTTCGAGGGGTGCATCCCCAACGGGGGGGGTAATTTGGGAGGGGTCTCGAAGGGGACGAGGATGGGGATGGGGGTCGGTGAAACGAGACTGATCGGCTGCCTCGAGCCCTCTCGGGGCCGTCTCGGGCCGCCTGGCCACTCCTGGCTCGCCCGATACCAGGGCGCTCTCGGCAGCAGCGGAGGGCCCGCGCGCCGAGGCGCAGCAGTTGAGCAGGGACCGAGCGTCCTGGCATTGCTGTAGGCATACCCCGAAATATTCTTGGAGTCCTAACATGTTCTAGAAATGAGACCAATGTTCTTAGAACATCCGCCCGATGTGTTCAAGCAATGTTCTAAGAACGTGTCGTGCAGACGACCATCGGTTCTCAGAGCATTCTTTGGTGGGCCAGTAAGCGAGCCAGGACGCTTCGCCACTGCTTGAAGCAGATGGCCCTCGCGAGCGCCCCCTCTACGCGCCGCGGGCCAGGCGGCCCGCCGGCCGAAGCCCAGTCGTCCCCCGACGTCGTGATCTTGTTCGCAACCTCGACCCCCAGAGGTCTGAGCCCTTTCCCCGGGACAGGTTCTTCATCCTGAGTCGTTCTTTGACGGTCCTCCCATGGTGATTTTTTCGCAACGCGAGGGGGTCTGGGAGCCCCGCTGCCCGCCAGGGGCCGCAGGGAGCTTCGGCATCGCCCGATCGCTCGACGGCGACGGCGACGACGCGGCGGCAACAGCGGCGGCGGTTGGCGGAC